ATCTTCGTACAATAACGAGACAGTGAGTTTGAAGAATGCTCTTAAAACGAATATAGGATAGGCGTACGTCATTCATTTACAGTTTTGACTATTTTTAAGGCCTAAACATTTAACCTAGGCTAGGCTAGGCCTAGTTAAGAAGGTTGCCTGGCTGGGCCAGAAGAATGGTCCTGGCTGTTTCCGTTTGGTGAGTGACTGAGCCCCCTTCGCTGACCCAGGCCAATTTTTGCCTAGGGCCTAGGCCTAGACCTATGGTAGGCAAAGGTCTAGCCTATCAGAATAAGCCTAAAGCAGAGATGCCAAGTTTGTCAGTTAGCTGGGAGTGAGAACATTAACACAATCGAAGGAGTGAAGCGACCGAGGAAGGGGAGGGGGATGTGGGAGGGGTGGATCCCCACAATAGAAACAATTTTCATTTTTGGGTTTTAAATTGTACAATTTGGTGCATACCTAACTATATTGTACTTGCATATTTTTTATTGTATTATAAAATACCAACTCCCAGACCTGCCAACCCTTGCTTGGGTCATGAAAATCTGGAGATTTTTTTAGGTTTCCAGAATTAACCAAAAGATGATGCAAGATACCAAAAAAGTCACGTCACTACAAATCATTGGCTGTTGGTGGCGACATTTGAATTGAAATGGCTGTTGTTCATTGCACCGCGAAGCGAGCAGGCGGCGAATACATTGATGACAGTAACGATCAAATCATTCAAATTATGCATAAATCGGAGTATTTTTGGGGCCTGTGAAATCGGGTGAAAATTACATTCGATCGGGAGAACTGGAGATTTGTTTAAATATCGGGCAACACCCTACAGGATTGGGTGAATTTTTTTTTTTTTTTTTGAGTACTATAGAATGCATGCACACAAGAGTAATCAACTTTTGATTTTTTTTTAAGGGCCTAATAATTTTAAGAAATGACAAAAAAAAAATAATAATTTAAAAATAAAAAATGAAAAAATAATAAATATATATATTTTTTGAGTGCTATAGCACATGCAAACGAAGGTAATCAACTAATGATTTTTTTTATTGGGCCTAATAATTAATTTTATGGCTATAAAACAGGATTAATACAATTGCCGCACTGTGGAATATTATGCGCCAAATGACCTGTCGCCGCGCGTTTCCCCATTATTCCTTTAAAAAATCCTGGGGAGAACACTGTTAGGGAACCCATTGCATCTTTGGAAAGGGGGTTCCCCAACGGTGTGGTTCATTTCAACAGAATTAATATGTGAACGTGTCACGCTTACTGTAAGTGCCTTTTTTACAGCTGCTAGGTGGTCATTGACCATGCCCATATGCAATTCGGCAACGACTATACAAGTTATGGGTTTTTCTCTTGCCTTTTACCTACCCTACCTTGTCTGGGAGATTCTTGTTTGCTTTTGGAATGCGGGAGGCCGTCCAGATTTCCGGGAGACTGCTTCGAGTTGTGGGGTCTTGGGACCCCCTTCACTCTGGAACATCAACTCAGGATTTTCAAGGATGCTGTCAGCCTCCCCTCCAAATTCGTTAAGTAAAGTGGGAATTGCTGATTTACTTTTAGTCTTACTTTGCATGTACTTCCAAGAGCTCTTTGGTGCATAGTTTTAGATTCCATAGCCATTCTCTCAAAATATGACTTGTCTTCTGCAAATATCTGTTTCAGGATTTGCATATTATGCAAATTAACCTGGAAGAAAAGCAAAGTTAGCAGTGCCCCCACAATACACAGGGCCTATAAAACTGGAACTATCACATTGGTAGCATCATGTGTTTTGATCTTTCAGGCCTGAAGCTCTGGCTACTGATGCCTGATTAGATTTTATGACAAGGAAGCAGTTTGAAAGATGTCTCTGCGGACAAGGATCAATGGTTTCACAGCATGGGTCAATTTCAGGCTGAAGCCCTATGATCATCTGTTGAGCAATGTTCTCATGGACCTACTGAAGGGAACTAATATCAAGATGCTTATTCAAAGTAGGCAATTTATTTGTTTGTTTGTTTTTTTTTTAACAAAATATATAACAATTGGGTATTAACTTAGTATGAACTAATTTAACAATTGGGTATTTCCCACACAAATTATGAATTATGTGATGCCTAAAATAGACTTGTTTTGGCATTGAGATGATTTTGTTGGAATTAAATCTTGAATTGTGATAGGCCAAATGTCAGTCAGCAGTTCTATGGTAGAAGAATTTAGGGGGATAACCCCTTATATTGGCTGCAATGATATATTAAACAAAATCCTTAACATTTATTTGAAATTTGCTCTGTAATCGCTTATTTTTAAGGAAAGTTAACTTATTGAGCAGGAAAAGTGTATTTTTTAATTGTTTACAACATATTGACATTAAAGTAAACAATTTTTAAAAACATAAAGTAATAGTAATACATCTCATACTATCAAATGAGAATTGCAATAGGTTTATTTTTTAATTACTTTAATTCAATTTGACATTAATTCAAAACATGTAAATAAAAATCATAACAGTAAAAAATAAGGGAATGGAAGTGTTATATTTACAAATTGCAAAATTGCTAGAAATTAATCAAATTTACAAAAAAAATCAGAATTGCTAAAAATATATTAAGATTACATTTACAAAAAAAAAAAAATTGCAGTTGTTAAGAGTAAAAACACCATTGAAAAATACCATTGCAGTGAACAAGTGTTTCCGTAGTTAAATAAAATTTTTATTATTATTATTATATAATTATACTCACATGAAAAATTTAAAATCCAAATAAAATTCACATGAAACGAGATGGAAAGCAAACAACAACACAAATAACAAACCCATCACACACCTAAAATTTAAAAATTAAACAACATATTCAAATTAAAGTAAATCGTGATTAAATAATTACATTGAGAATAGCAATTTATAACAAAAAAGGATAAAATGTACACACATACACAAAAACTACCACACAGAGAAAACAATTTAGTCAAAATATAAATAATTCACAACAAATTCGTATAATAGCATACATTTAGTGATTAAAAAATGCAATAAAAAATTAAAGAATTCAGCAAATTTCAAAACATCAAAAAGGGTATTTCCGTTCATTGACAATGTTTTTATATGGTGTTTTATAAAGTGTTTTTTGCCATGAGAATTTGAATAAGTGAATAAATAAAGGGTTTGCTGAGATTAAAAAAAACAAAGATAATTGCTTTAAAAAAAAAAATGCTTTACTATCAAAATGAAAGTCTCATTTAAGGGAGCACTGTGTAAGAAGGAAAGTTTTCATTGTTTTCTTGATGTAAATTTGAAAATAAGCACATCTGTGTTTGTATTGATTGTTCTATTACATTTTGTTGCTTTTTTTCCGAAAATGATTTTTTTTTCTCCCCTATCAATATCATTTAAATCGTCATTTTGTTCCTAAGGTCTTACCGGTGTGGAAAACAAAAAGCTGCAGAGCCTTGATGGACTTACTCAGCAACAAAAGGTGACACGCATGGAGTGGGTAATAGGGGAACTTAAAGAGAAGTAAGTATGTGTTTTAAAAATTCAATTTTTTTTTAAACAGAACTTTACAGTATGTATTTTAAATTGATAATCTTCTGGATATGTTATTATTTAGACTGGATTCCAGTCCCTAAATTTGTTCTTAATCAGTGAAAACTACTAAAAAAATAAATCGATGTTGGCACTAATGGCGTTCCATCCAAATTCAACAACATAATAATTTTTTTGATTTATCCAGATGTTGGTGGCGCTCTCTGAACGTTTTTACACTAGGAAAAACCAAAAAATTAAGAGATTTGTGGCAAGTCAAATTATTATTAAACTAATAACCTGGTTAATCAGTAGGCATGATGAATACAGATTGAGAAAAATGTAATAATATTTGTTTTTCTTTGGTTACAAATGTATTCATTGGTTTCACTACTTACATTTGTTCATGAAAGGCACTTTGTCCTAATTACCTCTTCATTTTGATGGGATGTTGAGCATTAGTTCTGTGCGAATAATAGCACATGTGCACAAAACGAACACTGTGAACTATTCGAAAAGAGTAGGGAGTGTCTCCTGCAGTACTGACCATGAGGCGTCTCCCCAGAGCTAAATTCTCTCCTTGGTTTTCAAAAAAGGATCATCCATATATAATTTAACATTTTATATTTGCTCACAAACAAGGCATTTTGTCCGTGCATAGTATGTGGTACCTTAGAAAAACAAGCAATGAAATTGTATGTAAAGTTTATTTTATTCTGTAATTTATTTACCTAAATGTGAGATATATTTCTTTATAGGAAGTTAACAACTTATTAGATATTTTTAAATGAGGAATTTAACTATTATTCAAGTTTATAGATGTTACCACAAACTGTGTATCTTCGAAGAGAGTGAAGTAATTCTGTTATTCCTAAAACTAATGAAACATGTTTGTTGTTTTGTTTTTTTCAGTGATGTTATACCACCGGATGTATTTATTGATTGTAGATTGTTTGCAATGAGACATGCAGAACATGTAAGAACATCATATTGTAAATTCTTGTCTGACACAGGAGGTATAAAAGAGTATACATTGCCTAGAGAACATCACTTAACTTCCGATTTCTTTCTTGCCTTTGGTAAAGGGGCACCGAAACTGAGAAATGGGGGTGGGGAAACTACAACTGAATTAAACAAATGAAACTTCTACTACTACCGCAACTGCTACTGCTACTACTACTACTACTACTACTGCTACTACTACTACTACTACTACTACTACTACTACTACCACTACTACCACTACTACTAATACTACTACTACTACTATTACTTCTGGTACTAACTTGGACGGTAGGGGGTCTGTGAGGCACCTCAGCCCCACTATGGTTGGAGCTAGGTGGGAACATTTGAAGAATACGGACCTCAAGGTGCCCGAAAAATTGCACTTTCATACTTTAAAACTCTTAATATTCATAATGATAAAAATATAATATATCAGCAAGACATACAATAATTACTTCTTAATACAATTTAGGGGGGTGTGTTCGCACCGACAGCACCCCTTGCTCTGCATCCGCCCCAAAATAATAATTGCTACCACAGTCACTACAAACAATACTATTTGGATCTTTGTTATTATCATTAATACCACTGTTTTTCTTTCATTTTATTTATTTTTATTATTAATTTTCATGACTTTATTTCCCTTTATATTTCAGGTGTTTGATTTATTGTGGCGTTTAGTATGTCATGATATTTGGTTTACGTGGGACAGACTTGAGTACCTTCTTTACAACGAGGATAAAGTTCTCACCGAAGTGCCATTTGAGGTAAGGTGTATAGAAATCAGTCGTGGGAGAGTTTTCTCCATCCCCAATTCAGTTCTGACAATATGAATTAAAATATGAAAGTGGAAAAATCCTGTGACTGGAATATGAACATTTTTTTTATAATCTAAAACCTGTAGATTTTTTTTAGATTTTAAGGGAGTTGGATAATCCAATGTTTGCTGTATCACTAGAACACAACAAAACATTTAGACTGTAAGGAGCCTATAAACTTAGTTTACTTAATTGGAATAATTTCTTCTTATTTTTGGCTCACATAACTTGTTTCAGTGTAAATTAAATTGACTTAATTTTCTTTTTTCTGTTTTTGTTCAGTGGATTCCTAATCTTCGTCCGGAAAAGAAGAAAATGAAAAAGAAAACAAAAGTGACTCGATCGTTGTTGTCAGGTTTTGGTGGTGGATCCTTAATCCCAGAAAGTGTTCCTTCATCTCCGGTAATCCAACTGACTTTTATACTATCTCTCTCTCTCTCTCTCT